GATATGAACATTTTTGAAATATGGTTCTTTAAAGTGTTATTGTTATTATTTTATAGGTGCACCCCGCGTTAGCTCTACTTTGATTTATAATGAAAAGTAACGCTATGTCAAAGTAGCCCCACGCACGGGGCTACTTTGACACAATTTTCAAAAAATAAAAAAGGGTATTTGTAAATTTTTTTAGGTAGTCACTTGCTAGCAATTCTATAGCCAAGGGTTCAATTGTTCCATGTCCATAGTTAAAAAGTAAATAGCTGTAGTTGTTCAATGAATGAAATTCGTCAATTAATGAAAAAATTAATTCAGGCATTAATTTTCAGTCGTTGGTTAATATTCATGCCTTAAAAATAAAAGACCTGTATTTGATTATTGCATGATATTCTTTATTAAAATCAATTCAGAGTAACTTAACAAGAAATAAATTTAATAGTTTTTTAAAAATTAAACCAATTCAGAGCAACTTAACAATAAGACAAAAATTGAATAGTTTTGTAAAACGCTACATCTGGGTATTTATTAAGGCTTCAGATAAAATATGTATTTTGCTGTACGAACGTTTTGGCGCCTTCTTATAGTAACCACCATCGTGCAATCCTAGGTATTATATCCTTTTCTGTACTAGACGCTTTCAGCGCATTACAGTCTGTTGCTACCGTAAAATGTATTCCCAAAAGATACACTCTAAATTTTTTTAAACTGTCGACTACTGCCAAGGTTTCTAATTCAAAAGAATGATATTTATTTTCGGCATGGGTTGTCTGTCGGCTGTAATATGCGACGGGATGCAATCGTCCATCAGATTGCTTCTGAAGCATAATTCCAGCGATTCCTTGAGCACTGGCATCGGTATGCACTTCAGTCTCAGCCGTAGGATTAAATATGGCTAGAATAGGTTTTTCAGTCAAAGCCTTACGCAATTTGTTGAAAGATGTTTGTTCGCTCACTCCCCATTTGAATTTCTCAGTTTTCCTTAGCAGGGTTGTTAATGGTATTGCAATGGAGGCGTAATTTTCAACAAAGTGTCTAAAATAACCAGTGAGGCCTAAGAACTGTCGAATGTTGTGGACTGATTTTGGAGTCGGGAATTCTTCTATATCTTTAACCTTACCTGAACCAGGTTTTATTTGTCCAATTGATATTTCAAATCCCAAATATGAGACAGATGTTTGCAAGAAATAGCACTTTTCCAAATTTAACTTAAGACCTTCCTCACGGAGAAGTTTTAATATTGTTTTTAAATTTTCCATCGCTTCGTCGATGGTATGCGCATGAATTAACACATCATCTAAATAGACAGATGCAAAATCTTTTGTAAACGCCAAAAGCCTATTCATGAATCTTTGAAAAACCCGGGGCGCATTAGTGAGACCGAAAGGAACTCGATTAAATTCATACTGTCCTCCAGGGGTTACAAATGCTGTAAATTTTTTTGAATTTTCCTGCACGGGAATTTGATGGTATCCAGAACGTAAATCTAGGCCGGTGAAGTACTTACTTCCATGCAGTCTATCTATTTGATCGGCAATCCTAGGCAAAGGATATTGCTCTTTCATGCTCTTAGAGTTTAGTCTCCTATAGTCGACGCACATTCGCTCGTCGCCATTCTTTTTCTTGGCCAGTAAAATGGGCGAATAGTAAAGTGAACTAGACTCACGAATAACGCCATTTCCTAGCAACTCACCGATCATTCTCTTTAACGTTTCCTGTCGACTTATAGACATACGATAGGCCCTGTAAGTAAACGGAGTGTCATCATTTAACGTTATTTCCAACTCTGCCGCCTTGGCACACCCCACATCTGTGGAATTCTGGGAAAAACAATCTGCATAATTTTGTAGCAGCCGAATAAGAGCTTCTCGCTCTCGACTCGTTACAGGACCTACGTTAATACTTTCTACCGGCAGTGACATGCCTTGGCCAGTATCAATTCTTAAAATCTTGCCCTTGGCACGAGGGGGACCACTAGCTAGAACACACAAAGCCATGCCCTAACCAAAAGTTCATTTCCTCCAATTTCAAAATCATCGTCTGCCAAGTTTATTATGGGTATAACACCTTCTTTTTGATGTACGTCTCCATTTGTCGATAAACGTTTATGAGTAGAGTAAAATATAACATCGAAGTTGAATAACGTTTATTATAATTTTCCTATGGCTATCGATTTCGGCAACATTGCCATCATCAGGCCTAACTATAACACAGGATATATTTATAGCTAGGCCTGATGATGGCAATGTTGCCGAAATCGATAGCCATAGGAAAATTATAATAAACGTTATTCAACTTCGATGTTATATTTTACTCAACACCTTCTTTATCCGAGCTTAATCTAATTATAGTTCGCGGAATGGAATATTCATTTCCTTCCTTAAGGCGCAAACTAGCTTCTACAAATAAATCTCTAAAATTATTGTTAACTCTGGACCTAACTACAATATTTACTAAGGTGTCTTTAGGTACTAGGCAGGGACCTTTTGTATGCTATTTTCTGTGGTTTCTGATGAATACCTTGTATTTTATTTACCGACGATTTATTTATCCGACACCACATGCGCAGTCACTTGAGCCTTAACATTATCTACCTCTAATAAAAAACTTGTCCTTACTAATGATGAACATCTACCCTCTTGGAACTGTTTGAAATTATGGATTCTACAGGCCACGTTCTATAAGAAAAATTTTTTTTTCGGGACGATCTGAGACAATTTTTTTTCGGGAAAAAAAAGGCAGTGTATAACCTTCATTTTTTCCAAAAATCGACAGCACCAAAATTTCTCGGGAAAACACTTTTTCTTATTAATTTTGGTGCGTAGAATCCAAAACAATTCGTACTTTTTCGATCAGACTTCTCTATCAAAAGTTATAGACTAGAAACCAATTTCGAAAAAAAATGCAAAGGGCTGTAACTTTTGAACTAGTAGCCCAATCTTGGAACTGTTTGAAATTATGGATTCTACAGGAATGGTTTTCAGATTTACTATGAATGCAGTAAAATAATGTCAACCCTCTTTTAAGGGATTCTTAGAACGGCGGGCTCACCTTTTGATCCCGAGTCCTAGACCAATTAACAACCCTAAGTGCATAAACATACTGAAGTAGTTCATCTCGCCGCGCCGCTCGCCGTTCACCTTGCCACGCACCTCGCCGTATATTGCTACAAACATAGTAAAGCAGTTCATCTCGCCGTTGTTACATTTTGGAAAGTGTGTTAAAACGGTACTATAAAAATGTTAACAGACTCCGAAACCGATAGTGATTCAAATATTGTGGTAAAATGGTGGTTGATTTCCAAAGGGACAAGCCGAAGATGGAGTGCCCATCCCGTACAAAAGCAACGTGCGAAACTTGGAGAATACCATCATTTGTACCAACAACTAAAGAACTATCCCGATAGATTTTATGAGTATTTACGAATGTCTCAATCAACATTTAATTACATACTTCAACTCATACAACCAAAGATTCAAAAAAAGTATAATAATCTTCATGTACAGCCAATAGACGCCGAAGAAAGGTTGGTGGTAACTCTCAGGTAAGTAAGAATAAAAAAAACATTTATTGTAAGATAGATATAAAGTATTCCATGTTACGGTATGTTAAGGTATTGTTTAATGTTGATCGTTATAATGGTTTCTTTGCGATCCAATTGGTAACATTGCAGCGTACGAATTCCTCTCAGTAGAAGCGATCTGTTGAATCGGCATTTGTACCAGTGGGGATGACATAGATGCAAGTGTATGTTCGGTAGGTATTGGTGAATATGCATGTGGGTGCTGAGTAGGTTGTGCATATGATGACGACGTAGATTGTTGAGCATGATGAGTAGATAATTGCTCATTTGGCGATGTTGTAGGTAGATCTGGATGATGAGACGTACGATGCATAAGGTACTGGTACGGATTACCGACCATGCACTTAATGGTGACCATTTTATTTTCTGGCCTTAAAAAGGAAAACAAGTTATAAAATATTAATTTAAGCACTTTTATACAACTTATTGATGATTCACCCTGCACTTGCGCTATCAACATAGGCATTTTTGTGGGAAAGTGTACAGTTATTTGCAGAAGTTTGCATGCTTGTCACTGTAAAGTGTGCTATTGATATAAATAACCTTAAAAAGTGCTTAAAGTTTGAATTGTGTTTTTAACAATATTAGGTGAGTATTTGCCCAAAACAATAGTTGGTTATTCGATGTAAACTGTACAAGTTATTTATTTGAAGTTTAAAGTCAGTCTGTATAGTGTAATATTGAAATTATTTAAGATAAACGTTGGTCGGAATTAAGTACAATATTATGGCGGCATGGTCTTAATAGCGACCACGTGGTCGCAAATGGGGAATATTGGGTCAGTCATAAATACTCTCCTAATTTTTATATTAGCCATAAATTATCTATTGGCGGAACAATTTAAAATTGTTTGACATATATCAACAGAAAAATGTAATTCCGACCACCCTTTTTAATAACAGGATCGATGTGTTGGCTAACATAAGTTAAACTAAATGTACTCGTTTCGATGAACTAACTTGCATTACACAGCACTTACATATTCATTTATTTCTAATCTAATTAGACAGAACAACTACTTACCTAGTGTTATATATACAATATTATATTGACGGAGAATAAATTGCCTGTAGACATTAATCTAATAAACCCAGTTTTCTATAATTTGCATTTGAAGTGTGGTCGGTATTTATGGACAATAATTCTGTTCGTGTATCGAACCCCGTCCACATGGTCGATATTAGGGCAATGCATGATTTTTATCGTACAGATCATACCAACCATATTTGGCATTTTTTTATTTAATAAAAAATTTCAAAAAACTACAATAACTTATTTTTGTGCATAGACGAACCATGGAACAAACAAAAAAAGAAAACTCTATACCAATGAGGCATTGCTCAATGCATTGACTAGTATAAAGGAGGGAATGAGCATTAGAAGAGCATCTGCTCAGTTTCACATACCCAAAACAACGTTAATAGATAAAATGAAGAACAAGTATAAAGAAGGGGCAAGACCTGGGGCTCCCACAGTTCTCTCCTCGGAAGAAGAACAAAGTTTAGTGGAATGGATCTTGTACCTTGAGAGGGTGGGCTTTCCAGTAACAAAAGGTCAACTAATGGAAAGTGTTGCAAAATTAGTGGCTAGTCTTGGTCGGCCCAATACATTTAAAAATGGAATGCCGGGGCGGCATTGGTATGAAGGCTTCTTGGCTAGACATACGGAATTATCTACCCGTATATCACAAAATCTAACGCAACCTCGTGCCAGCATAACAGAACAGGCCATCCGTAACTGGTTCGATCGGGTGAAAAACTACTTCGAAGAAAATAACTTCGACGATGTTCTCAAAGATCCACAAAGGATTTTTAACTGTGACGAAAGCGCGTTCTTTTTGGCACCGAAAGAAAAACAAGTCCTTGTTAGAAAGGGCTCAAAAAAAGTCTACACGAGGATTCAAAATGACGAAAAGGAGTGCTTGACTGTGTTGGTAACGGTATCTGCGGATGGGAATAGGCAACCTCCTTTAGTCTTAATGCCCTACAAAAGGGTGCCTCCAAATATATATTATAATATGCCCAAAAATTGGGCAATTGGTAGATCAGACTCTGGTTGGATGACGGGGGAGAACTTTTATGAGTACATAACCAACGTATTCCATCCATGGCTAATGAAATTCGAGATACCAATGCCAGTAGTTTTATTCTTGGATGGACATTCTTCCCATTTGACCCTGCATCTATCAGAGTTTTGTAAAGCTAAAGGAATCATTTTGACAGCTTTATTGCCCAATTCAACTCATCGCCTCCAACCTTTGGATGTTGCAGTTTTTCGGCCACTAAAGGTAGCGTGGAAAAATCAAGTGCAGAAGTGGAGATTAAGTCATAACGGTCAAAAATTAAAGCGTGAGGATTTTTCTTCGCAAATGGAGATCTGTATATCAGAAGTTCTAACAGGGAATACAATTCAAAATGGATTTAGAACTTGTGGCTTTTATCCATTTTCACTTGACTATTTTGACTTTTTCAAACTAATAGATCAAGT